ATATAAATGACAAAAATTAGAAAATAAGTAATAAATAAAATGATATAGACAGTAAAATAATAATTTAATAATAAAACTGTGCTAAAATATAATTATATAGAACATGCAAAGCAAGTAATAAAATATAATCATGTAAAACGAGAAATAAAACTGTAGTAAATATTTAGATAAAAGCTAACCTAAAAAGATGGGTCTTGAGTCTTGACTTAAAAACATGAACGTTCTCTGTGGCCCTGAGGTCCTCTGGCAGCTCGTTCCAGAGGCGAGGGCCATAACACTGGAAGGACGCCTCGCCGTGAGTTTGTGTCCTGACTTTAGGGATGACCAGGAGACGCCTGCCAGAGGAGCATAGAGGCCGCGAGGGTTCATATTGTAAAAGCAGTTCTGATAGATAAGAAGGCCCAAGACCGTTAAGACACTTAAAAACCATTAGAAGAACCTGACAAGTGTGTCAAGGTGCACATAGTCTCTCACCTGGCCAGGGAACACCTTGGGATTCACCTGGAAGAACTGGCCCAAGTGGCTGAGGAGAGGGAAGTCTGGGCATCTAGACTTAGGCTGCTGCCCCCGTGACCCAACTCCGGATAGGCGATGAATGGATGGATACTGTATTGATGTATTGATTAAACAAGTGTTTAACATACCTTCAAAAAATGAAGGTATGTTAAAAATATTCATCCTGACAAGCACAAACACTAAAAACATCGGACGGCTGTAACTGGGCTGTCCAGTAGAACTCGAGGAACGACCAAAGGTCACCTGTCATTGGTGATTTTAGAGCAGATAACTTCCACCAAACCCTGTCTCGTGTCTGGTTTCTCCTCACTAGCACCTGCAGCGGGAGACTTTGATATTTCTGTGTTTCTGCTACATAAGATTTGATTAAAATAAATGTTTTTGTCAGCGTAGATCAGCTGCAACACGAACAGAAACCGCATCGCTGGGAGCATCCTCTGGAGCTCAGCCGAGTCTGAGTGATGAATATTTGGAGAGGCAAGGTTTACTGTGTGTGATCCGTTTGATACGATGGTGGAAGCACGCTGAAACAGTTTGTTATAGTCAGAAGCTCCTCCGGTCGATCTGTGCAGAGCAGATTCATGTGGTCAGACCGATCGTTGACCAGTCCGATGAAGCGATAGCAGGCAAACCCACCAACAAGGAAGCAGCACGATCGCTTTAGTCTGACAAGCAGAAATTGATTGTGGGGTTTAATGATTCTGGGACTGCTCTCAGACTGAAATGACTACTGATGGCATCAGACGTGTCACAGGATTACAGGCGTATTGCCATCAGAATCACTTCTTTTCCCCCAGATGACACAGTTCTTTTAGGACAGTTTTCTGTGGCGGATTATTCTCCTGCTGTTCTGTTGAATATTTGATACGTTTTTCAAGTTCCAGCGGCTGTATTTATCATCCATTTCATCAATATTTAAGTGATGATGAAATAAAACAGTGTTTCTCTTGGTCACATGAGTGCGTAAAGGAACTAAAGTCTGTGTTATAGAGAGATGAACAGAAATCTTGCCAGTGAAATTAAAGAGCCAGTCACTCCAAATCAACATTTTTTTGCTGATAAACTATATAAATGAGTGTCTGGTCGTGCTGTAGTCTAGTGTAGTCAATAATTCGGTACTTTAGTGCATCTTAGTAAAAATTTAAATATTCTGCCTAAAACTGTCAGCAATGCACCGTCATCAGGTAAAAACTCAGCACTGCATTTGAATTTAAATCTGCCATCGCTATTGGCTAAGAGGTACACTATGATGTTAGATGGTACTAATCCCTTCGCAATCGTGCCAGCTCGGTCAACCCGCACTTATCAGCTTGATCCTTCCTTGTCCGCCCCCACAGGTCGAGCATCTAAATGCCCCCCCCCCCCCCCAGCCTTAGCAACCTATATTCATTTAATGTACATTTTGCGGAGCCGGACGGCTTGTTGGGCTGAACACCGGAGCTACTGGGATTGACTTTAACCTTCAAGCAGTTGAAGACCTGCAAAGTTCCCTTATATCACTTTCCCCTAGCGCCCATGGGGAATCCATTTAAAAATTGAAAACTTTTCTTGTTGCGTAACCGTGGCAACAAGCTGGTTTACAATCGGGAGCAGCTGATTAACATTGGAAAGGCTGAAATAATACCTCAGCTGAAGCCACAAATCCCAAATGAGCTAAAACGCAAGAAGCGTGGGTGCAGAGCGGAGACAGAGAAAGAGGAAATTCAAACCATCTCTTCCATCGATCATAATGGGCAATGTGAGAACACTGGCCAACAAGATGGAGGAACTCCAAGCCCTTTCAAGGACTCAGCCAGAGTTTCGGCAGTTTCGGAACCGCTGGAGGAGATAATGCAAAGAAGGATTCTCCAGAGAATCAAGAAAATGATGGACAACCCTGAGCATTCTCTTCACAAGACTGTCCGACCACGGAAGAGTGTCTTCAGTCAGAGGCTTCTTCAGTTTGGCTGCAACACTGACCGCTACTGGAGATCCTTCCTGCCAACAGCCATTGTAATATACAATAACTCTTTGATGACCTGATTATTATTATTATTCTGAGCTACTACAGCAATCAATTTCCCTCTGGGATTAATAAAGTATTTTTGAATTGAATTGAATTGTTTTACTTTTTCTATGTATTTGAGACATAATGAGCTTGATTCAAAGCAAATGGCCGGTTCAACCACCAATGTCTTTTTCTCTCTCAGTAAGATGGGGTCAGGCACACCGATCTGCCACAAATCGGTGCACAGCCCCACCATTCTCTTTACCTTCCTTCCTTGTTCAATGTCCTTCCTTCCAACATGCAACATACCATATCATGGTTTGACACTCTTGACAGTCGGAGAACCATGATGTCACAATGTCGTGAGTGTGTGTATTTGTTAGCGGCTCCGCCCTCTCGGTCTGCTAGGCAACAGCATTTGTTGCATTTTTCAAACAGGAAGTGGGAGTTGAGTAAGAATCTGGTAGGGGGTGACTTGCTCTTTAAGCCATTGCACATTCTGTCTGCGTTACTGCTTCTAATCCTTTCTGATGTGAACTAAGTGCCACGACAAAGTGAAACACATTGAACAAGCCTGGAAACAATCGTTATTTATAAATAACTCATTTTACTTTAGCTTTTTACTTTTGAAAAGATTTATTCAAAAAAATATCAAAAACACAAAATACCACCACATCAACTCGACCGTCAGCTCTGTGAACTCCTTAAAACACACAGAGCGTGGTTTTTATTGCTCAGTGGTTTCTTGCCACTTTGAGTTTTACTGATTCAGGTTGCTCCAATGCTCTGATGCCTACTGTAACATTCAGAGGACTTATGAAACAAAAGGTTAGGCCCCTGCATGGCCCAGTGTCAAGGATTACTCCTCACACAAATTCTCCAACAACAAAGCCTCCATTGTGCCCCATCAGCCCCTCAAATTAGCAGCGGGAGCAGAAGCATGCTTAACTGAGCTTGACAGCACCATCAAGCTCTGAGGCCGCAGAAAATGCATTCTTTGAATCCCTAAAGAAATCACAGAACGATCCCAAACCAGGAAATTGTGTACAGAAAATTTAAAGCAAATCCAGTTGACATCTCTGGAGAGTTCAAATAGATTTGTATACATCTAAACTAAAATATCCTCAACCTAGTTAAAAGGAAAGCCAGTCAAACTGGATTAAAGCTGCATGCACAGAAACATCTGTCAGGAAAAGCTGCAGTTCATTCAGGCGCTTTGGTTTAAATGTTTATATTTATTAAAAAATATGAACTCATTTCATGCTAAAAATGCCGGAGTAAAAAAAAATGTCATCTAAAACTTTAAATGTTTAACTCTCTGAAAAGGCATTCAATTTAAACCAGTTTGTCTACGTCAAGTTGTTGAGAGTGAAAAGACAGTTTCCTGGTTGGATTTTCAAAATAAAAGTAAACAACTTCTCATTATTGCACATTTTCTGATCCTAAAGCAGAACTTACTACCAAATAGTTATGTATGTATTTTTTAGCATTCACAAAAGAGATACATACAGAAAACAGTGAAGGTATGAAAACATAGTGGGGAATCAATGTTTTTGGCAAAGTTAGTTTACACCCATGCTAGGTGGTGACTGTATGTACAGTCTATGGTGGTGACGCTTTTAACATTATTCTAACTGAGAATGAAAAGATAAAAAAATAGAAGAATATTGTGAAATAGGGTCAACAACAAAGAACAACGTAGACATTATAGCTGCAATCTTGATTTCAAAGGTGGTGGTGGTGGTAGTGGTGGTGGGGGGAGCTCAAATTGCTTAAACTGGGATGGAGATGGGGTCAAGGAAGAATCCTAATTTCACACTCTTTTTGTAAAGTATCATCAATATTTTTACATAAAATTCTATCTCATTTAAATGAATGGACCTAAACTGACTCATAAAAAGTGAACACACACTCTGCCCCTCTAAAAAACTGTCTGTTCATTAAAGGGATCAAGTTTGATGTTAGTGGATCCCAGTAAAAAATTAATTATCTTTAAATATGTTCCTTTAGGTTTAAAAATATATATAAAATATGTGGACCCTTTATTAAGAAAAATGTCATCCTGTTTTTATTGCTTCTAAGTAATGTTACTGGCTAGCACCGGAGCATGGCTAGCAGTGTCCAGATGTTTATGGTTTTGTTTGTATGGCCTGGAGGGACGCATTCAGCATGTTTTAGTTGTTTCTCTGCTCCAACACTCTTGATTAAGTGGTTGTATCACCTGTGCAGCAGCTCAAGCTCTGCAGAAGCCTGTTAATTACCTGCTGATTGAAACCAGGTGTGTTGAAGCAGGGTTAAACCTAAAACGTGCTGGATATCAGACCTCCAGGCTGACTGAATAATCATGTCTTAGTGGGAGAAAAGATAGAAACTTTTGAGCTGCTTGTGTCTTTCCACTCCTCCTTAGACATGTATTTTACTTTGAAAGGCCGTCATGCTATAAGTTCCTGTGGTAACTTCCGCTAGCTTGATGGCGCAGTTTTTTCCATCCCTGCTTTCTCGGGAGTTTAGCTAAAGGAGGAGGAGAAGGAGGAGGAGGAAGAGGAAAAGCTTTGCTCCTGAGACTCCAGTCTTGTTGCGACCTCCTGAAAGAAGAACCAGCTGGACGTGGACGCTTCTGGAAACGGAAACGACTCTTTTATCAACCCCCCGCGTGCCGCTTCGGTAATTAACGGCACCTGTGTCGGAGGGGAAGAAGTCTCCGTTTCTGTTTGTGATATTTGGGAAGTAAAACTTCAAGAGTTCAGTCTGCGCGAGCCGGAGCACTTTCCCCCTCTCCAGGATGTAATCTGGGAAGAGCTGGTGACACAGGGGACCAGTTTTAGTTTCATTTTTTAACGTCTGAAAGGAATGTCGTCCTAAAACCAAACAAGAACCGCTGTATTACTCCGAGGATCAGGGCGGCAGCTCCAGAGGTAGGTTCAACAACATTTCCTCCCATTTTAGTCACCTCTTAACTGCTTCTGTCCTCGTTATCATCTAAACTCTCTCCCCCACTTCACCTAATCTTCCGTGAGCAGATACAGCCTTTAAGGTCAGATTGGGGGACCTGTTATCCAGCCCCGCTGACTAAAACTTTCAGCAAAAACCTTAAAACCAGTTTTGAGAGTCTGTAGTGTGAAATCCGAGCCTGGCTCATGGGCCGGAGCGTCTCGAGACAAATCGATACGCAACATCTGGAGCAGGAGGTCGTGGTTTGAAGATCTGATAATGATGTTCTCTTTCCAGTGTTTACTTCACAGCCAAAGTGGAAATCACAACAGCTGCACAAAACCATTATCTCTTATTGATTACCCCCATTACTGCAACACGGAACCTTGGAAGGAAGTTGGGCAAGGATTAAAAAGCTGTGTGTGTGTGTGTGTGTGTGTGTGTGTGTGTCAACATTCATCTAAAGAGGGAAATCCAGATGTTTTCTGATGGCAGGATTGGTTTAAACCGTCAGATAAGACCGACTCAGTCTAGTCTTTGGTTCCAAAGGTTATTCAAACACATGACAAGTGATGAAACATGATTTTTTAAAGCTACAGCTCCACTTGGCTGTGACACACACGGCCAGAAGATAAATGGATGATCTGAGAGGCTGAACGCCAGTTGGGGTTAAACTCGTGCCACCTGCAGACTCCAGCCAGTTCAGTCTGATATTATGGCTAACTGGAGGCTCCCACCAGCGGAGCGTGTAGTTTCCAGGGCTGCTCTTTCACTCCACTGCAGCCACAGATGAAAACTTGTTTGGAGCAGATGTTTTTCCTTCCTAAAATACAAATGCCTGGACAATTCTTGCTTTAGATCCCAACCTTGATTCTGCAGACTTGGCTTCATGTGTTTTTAATCGAGTGCTGATTGTACAGCTCTGTGTGTTTCTGAGTAATGAGTGAACTGTAATCTTGTTGTTCAGTGTTATTCTTGGCAGGCAGTATCATGGTCATCTTCAACACACTTTTAAAAAGCGGACTCATTAAGGTGTCCAGCGCTACCTAGAAAAGACTTGGGTTTAAAGTGTTTTAATGTGTTTTAGAAGGTAAAATTGAATTTACTTTGTTTTTTAGTGGAACTGAAAAGTTTTCACTTGCTTTACTAAACAACCCGTTAGACAAACACAGCCTGCATATAGAAGCTATTTACTGTTGTATCTGCGGCAGGATCAGCGTTTGCTTTCAGGACCCTGAAACCTCTCAGTCTCTTTTGTCGATGATTGTCAGTTTTTCCCTGGATTTTCCTGAGATCTGACTCTCTTTGTCAGACCAGACTTGGGATGCTCGTTTATAACTGAAGGAAACTGATGGAGTGGGCGGGTGGGAATCGGAGATTCATTTTTAAAAAGTCTGCCACTGGGATTCAAAGTAATATTTGAAATAGGAAGTATTAATTTATTGGATTTTGACATTTTATATGTGACAGCATCTTTATTCAGCAGTACTAAAGCTTTTGAACCAACCTTTAGACAAACATTTGCCCTTATTTGTGACACAATAACAGGAAGATGTTATAATACGTGCTAGGGTTGTCACAGTGTGAAAATGTAACCTCACGTTATTGTGACTAAAATTATCACGGTTTTCGGTATTGCGGTATTTTATTAACGTGCTAGATTTTCAGACAACTAAATAAACCTTGTATATCAGGAAAATATTGTCCTCAGTTTGTGTCTAAGTTTTGTCTAAAATGTGTTATTTTGTAATTATGTTGTTTATTTGTTTACATTTTTCCCCTTTAGTCTTTAAAATACCAATATTTGCCCATAACTTCTTATTTTTTGTCTGTTTGATGTCATCATTTTAAAAATATTAGATCAGATGATACTCAGTACTCAAGTAGCCTTCTAATCAGATACTTTTTACACTTACTTGAGTAATAAACCCTATATCAGGAAAATATTGTCCTCGGTTTGTGTCCTTCCAGTGAGCTTTGCAGATTTGGGAAAATGTCATCAGGCAGTAATCGTTGTTAAATTCATAATTATTCTCTGAGAGAGACCAACTCTTATCTGCCCCTGGGAGCCCCGTAATGCATAGCGTCATTTCAACATGGCGGTGTCCGTGACACAGTTTATATGCAGGTAGCGGCGCTGCGGCTGCTTTATGTAGCGACTCGTTGCTTTCTCCCTCAACCCAAATCCTCGGATCACGCATTTTAGCTAAAACGCTAACGTTAGCTTGCCTTGCGTTGACTGTAGAGTTGTGGGTGATGGTCACGCAGATGTGTCATGAGATTTGAAGCGTTGCTGCCTTTCACAGACACTTTTTCTGCACGTGCTACAAACAGGATAGCCGTCTTCTATCAACTGTCCCTCGGCATTCTTCAAATATCCCAAAAGATGCCCGTACTTCCCACTTTGTCTTCTTTGAGGGATAATAAATGTCCTGAGTGCTGCCGTCTCCTCCTTTGGCCATTATTTCAGCTTTAGCTTCAAGAAAGTTATGGTTGTAAACAACAAAGCGCGCATGTGCCGCCGGCAACTTCAGCAGATGATACGGTGGCTGGTAAGGGTCACCGTGCCTACACCGCAGCCACGGTAACCCACTGAGATAATATCTTTTTAAAACCAGACGGTTATTATTATTGTCAACTTTTTTTTTACCGGGGTTTAACCGCCACACCGGTTACCGTGACAACCCTAATACATACAGGAGCGTGGTACATTTTATCACAACTGGGAACTTTACTTTGACATTTTTCTTGTTTGTTCTGTCACAACATAAGTGAAACTTTATATTTATTTGGTCTCTTCAGGCCGATTTGTTTTAGTCCAAATGTTTAGCATGATATCAGTTCAAGTACAAAGAATTCAATTAGTACATAAAATGTTTACCAGTTTTAGTGTAAATCAGTTTCCAGTAACAATCCCATTCAAGTCTGTCATGTTAAAACAAATGGAGTTTAAATTTGTGGTTTATTAGACATTTTCCACTACAGATATGCAACACAACTGCTGGGAAAGCGTGTTTGCAATTCAAATATTAAAGTCAGACTTTTAGACAACTACTCTGAGTCAGACAGGGATCAGAGCAAATGATTGAGTAAAAGTGCTTGTCAGCACCTGTCCAGGGGTAATAAAATCCACCTACGAGCTCGTATACATTTTATTGATTAACGGACTTTGCTGAAGTTTCTTAGCAGCAAATTGACTCCAACTGGCTAAAAGAGACTCGTTGTTAAACAGTTTTTATAAAAAGGTATTTAGCAGTGTAACACAGGGTTAGTGGGTGTTATCAGGAAAATAAAACCAACACCTGACAGATACCTGTGCGTATAAAATTATCCGTCAGTAACTGTGAAAAGCGGCACTTGTGGGTTTCTTCTACTACTTTGTCTGGTTGAGGAACGCTGGCAGTCTGCGGGGCTTAACTGTACGTTGCTGGTGTGTTTTCAGTGGAACCAGTTTGTGAGGAATGCTGCGGGTTGACTGACTCATCTACTGTCAGAAAAACATTTGTTCACAGGAAGTTTTGTTTGTGAACTCATTTATGAATCCAGTTCAGCGCCTAACCTCATAAAGCTGTTGCCCAACAGGTAGAAAACTCCCTGGCTTGTTAGTTCTGATTGGCTGAGCTGCTGGTTGACACCGGTTTAAGTTCTCCAGAATTCCATCTATCCGTTATCTAAACCGCTTCCTTCTCAGTGAAGTTCTATTATGGATTAACTCATTCGCTGCCAGCCGTTTCTCAGCATTTTTACTGACCAACCAAAACAAAGCGAAGACTCACCTCTTACATCAGGAAGAATCTGTGCATTTTGAGCGTTATCCGTTCTTTCGTAATCCGTTGTGGAATTGTGATCGGCAGAAGCTTTTCCGGTTCGTGCCTCACTTTTTTTTTTTTACAGCAGCGGCCCAAAACGATCTCCGAACTCATGGATGTTCTGCTTCCTGATCACGTGACGTACGCGGATGAAGATCGGCTTTAGAGCTGGGATGTTTGTTCTCACGGTGCGGGGGCTCGTCCGACGCCCACACAGTAAAAACATGCAAATGATGACTTGGCAGTGAACGAGTTAAGTTTCAGCAACTCAAAAGAAAAGTTGGTAAATTTCAACCAAGATGCAGGAAAACGCATTTCAGTCCAGCCCGGTCACTCTGTGCTGTTTGATCCAACCTAAAAGTCTGCCTGTAAATAAAAATGAAACGGAGGAAGGAAATTCTAAATATTCTTTTTTTATTTTGTAAAATAAAAGTGCTTCTTGTATGTAAAATTACCACATTTCAATTGTTGCATGCATATAAAAATGTATTGATTGTGGCGTGGTGGAGCAGCCGGTAGCACCGTTGCATCGCATCGTGAAGGTTGCAGGTTTGAATTCCGGCTGCTGCCTTTCTGTGTGGAGCTGGCCTTTTAACTGGAGACTAGATTGTCCCCATACGTTTGAGTGCGTGAGCTGTTTGTCTCTGTGTGTCCCCGTGATGGACTGGAGACCTGTCCAGGTGATGAGTGCTGGAGATGGACGAATGAAGGATGAAGTGGTGAAGACGAGTGAGTTAAACATCACCTCAGAGCTAACTGGCTTCGGTCGGACTGAGACTAACATCATTAGTTAGTGTGGCGATGCTTATTGTTTCTTTACAGCAGAACATCTCATTCTGCACCTGCAGCCACAAAACCCTGAATAAACCCCTCGGCTCACGTCTGCTGATGTATTTTTACCTGGAGAGTTTACAGAAAGCAAGGCTAATTGTAGCTCACTTCCTCTGCGTAGATGAGACTGATGAATGTTGGAGCTTTCATGTAGTTTTGGTAATTATCAGACAAATTTTATTTTATTTTAATGAATAATTGTTGATTGGATGTTGCTGCTATAATTTAGTGTTGGGGTGTTTGATGCTGTTGGGCTGCAGCGATCCTCTCTCTGCTCACCGTAACAACTTTCCTCCACAGGTCACTGATTAATTACAAAATGATAGAAAAACCAAAGATAAAAGAACA